AGGAGATAAATTACCAATACGTCCTAATCCTTTCGACTCTGAAGGTCCTTCAACAAGTACAAGAGCCAGTAAGCCTGCTAGACTTGTGATGAAAGGTTTAGAAATAATCCATGAAGTAGAGTGAGAGTTAATAAATGTCAAATATTAATATTGGTTTTCCTTCTGATCAGTGATCGTGGTTCTGTCATTGTTTAAGTTTGTAGTTTTAAGTCTTCAGTCACTCCAGTATATATAGAAAATGCAATATGTAAATATATGGAAGCCTTGTTAATTATTTATATGATCAATATTTATTTTCTTTTTGAGATGGAGATGCCAATACGCTAGGAACTCTTTGGTATTGGCTTAAGGATCTTTGGATCGTGTTGCTTTTCTCTCTGTCTCTGTCTGAGTTTTCTGGTGCGTAATATTCTGAAAATTGGCATTTAGCAGTCAAATTCCTAAGAGAGCCCTCAATTCTGGACTATTTTTTTTCTCAAGTTAAGAATATGTAAAGTTCTATGAAGAATATATTACATCTGATCTGAATCCTGATGTTTTGAGTTCAAATGCAGACCAACTATATCTATAGGCTGTATACTATTTCATGACAGAGTATAGTTCAGCATTGATACTTGGGAGAGACTCTTAGCGACATTTCATTTGCAAAACTAAGTAGAATAGACTTGAAGTGCATGTTAGGATATTTATATGAGTATTTATTATTAGTTTAAATCTATTTAATATAGAATGGATGCTTCCAAACAATTTTGTATAATTCATTTAGGAATGCTTTAAAAGAGAATTTTACCCACTGGCAATATTTTTTGATCATTTTTGCTTCATATAAAAACAGCAAGTGTTATCCAAAGAGACATAAATCTTGCCAGTGCCAAATAACTAAGAACAACAACATAGTGCATTATGTTAGAAAGCTTATGCAATGGGTCATTAATTATCTGTCTTGCTGAGATCTTAAGCCATTCTGCAATGTCCAATGGATAAGGAAAGTCAACTTGAAGGCCTAACACAGAAACAAACCATGCTGACTTGTCTACCCAAAAAAATAAAACTGTACTAATCTAACAAAAGGAAATATTCTGATTCATAACTGAGAACCTTACAGAAATGTCTGGAGAACTATAAACAATGCTATGATGATCTTTCATCTTCTTGAGCTAAAAATGATGTTGTATCTGTATAATTACTTACTGATAGATCAGAGGATGACATTATCGAATTTGAATGGTTACTAACATCCACATTCAGAATATCTTGTGGATAAAAATAAGGCTTTTGAGGCATTTCTAAGTCATGCTCCTCCCCCTCAAGCATCTTTGCAACTTTGTTCATTGAAGGACGATCATTTGGCCTAGTTTGGATGCACCACAGTCCCACAATCATGATTTTCCTTGCCAACTTCATTTCTTCTTCTGTTGCATTTTCTATGTTAATCTCATTTCCTTCATTTAATTGATCATAAACCCAGAAGGGGAAGTAAAAATGACTTGACTGTGCAGCTGACACATTTAGATTCTTTCTTCTACCAGCAATGTCCATTAATAACTTCCCAAAACTATACACATCCGCTTTGTTAGAGATTCCACCCACGTTTCTATAGAAAAGTTCAGGGGCCATGTGTCCTATCGTACCTCTTATAGTTGTGAGTGACACAATGCTATCACTAGTAGGGTAGAGTTTAGCAAGGCCAAAATCAGAAACCTTAGGGATGAAGTTGTCATCAAGAAGGATGTTGTGTGGCTTTATATCAAAATGCAGAATTTGCATGTTGCAACCTTTGTGAAGATATTCAATACCATGAGCTACTCCACCAAAAATGGCATACAATTGATGAAGATCAAAGGATTGCTCATTGTCGTGTTTAGAGAAAATGTATTTGTCGAGAGATCTATTTTGCATGAACTCATATATAAGAGCATGTTTCAATCCCTCCACACAGTAACCAATGAGTTGCACGACATTCATATGGTGGATTGTACCAAGTGTAGCAACTTCATTTATGAATTCTTGATTATCAGCTTTGGGCTTATCCACCATCTTGACAGCTACCTCACAACCACTTCGAAGTTTTCCTTTGAACACAAAGCCATAACCTCCTTTCCGAAGTTTGATTTTAAACCCTTTTGTCATCTTCTTGATTTCTCCATAGAAGTACCTTATAGGCATGATATTGTTGTCACTCTGCAAAAATTCTTCAATGTTGTCTTACATTGATAAATGTCTCCGCAGACATTTATAGATCATAAGGGCAATGACAAATGGAGTCCCCAGAACAATTTTACCAAGAGTATGATAAACCGTTCATGAAAATTTGAAAAATTAGAACGCGCCCTTGGACGAGTACTTCATTATTATTGCTTGGCTAGTTATTAAACTATTCATATTCACACTCTTATGAATTAGATAAATCTGTTGGAGTAGTCAAGGGATTACCTAATATAGTGTGTACGTAGCCCACAAGATCTGAAAAATAGAAAAAAAAAACTAATATTAGCTTCCATAAAGAGAAAATAACTGTAATGTTAAAATAGTTAGTGCCACATATTGAATACATATTAGTGTGAAGGTGAGCTCTTGGCATTAGCTATTTCCTTCGCAACCTATAAACAATTATTTATACATCGTACAAGAAAAATAAAATAAAAGTACACTATTATTCAATAAAGATTATACTCTTCTGGTCCTTAATATAAAACATATTTAACTAATTTGATTAAATTAAGAAAGTCAGGTAACTTAGTTAATCATAAGAAATTTGACATGTTTTTTCTAAAACACCATAATCATCTTCCTTAATATCTCATCTCCCTCTTCTACTTGATTATAGTTGAAGGAGTATTCATAAAGGTAATTTAAAAAAATTTGATAAATATGAGAAATAATTTTTATATTTAAGACCAAAATCAACTCAATAATTAAGTCCTATATTAAGAATTGGAGGAGTAATAATCAAATGAATAGGTCATAAAAATCATTTGTGAAAGGGGAAAAAGGTTGATGTCTAAGACAAATCTTTAACAGTAAATTCATAAAAGTTTTATACATGAGCAGTAGAGATCTCTGACTTTCTTTTTTCTGTGAGATCCTCATTACAGTGCAACTTGCAAGGATGTTTTATGCAAGATGGAATCAAAGAAGTTAGAAGTTATGATGGAGTGCCTTACCCTGGATAATTAAAAGGATCATTTTGAAAATGCCACTTGCTACTGCTACACCAGATAAACAAATGTATAAGTACAGGGATATGGTATATGTATTTTACTGACAAGATGCGGGCAAAAAAAATATTTTACTGATAATATGATAATGATTGAGATTTTATTCTGTCCGTGTGTTGCTAACTCTTTACTTTTAAGTATTTAAATGTTTTTATGGATTAAAAAAATTCAAACAGAAAAGCATTCTTTTCAAAACACAAGTAATACCTTCCAAATTTGTCAATAGCAAAAAATAGTCATCTCAGGGTGCTTAGGGTAATGGATAGATTCCTCTTTAAAAAATAGTCATCTCAGTGCGCTAAGGCTAATGAATAGATTGCTCTTAACTAGATAGTTTATTGCTTTCTTTATTGCATATACAAACCAAACGAATTCAATTTCATCGACACTAGTTTTTTTAATTATATTTTTTATTTTAAAAATATATATGATAACAGGGGAATGCATATGAATATATGATACACACACCCTGAACCAAAAAATGATATATTTTTCCCAAAAAATGGTTTTGTACCACTTGTATAATATTATTGGCAACTAGAATTACATCAAAATTCAATAATGGAACATCAACGTAAGCAGGAAAAAAAACAATTAATGGACTTACCTATTTGACAGCGTGGTTTCTCTTTGGCAAGCCAAACGCTAGAGATATGGAAACTGCGGTCGTAAACTCCTTCTTCTCTGTATTCTTGTTGCTAACTCTAAGGTTTCTAGTGTCTGTAGGAAGCTCAAATAGCCGTCCAGAACCTGAAACATCACGTGGAAAACTTCCTGTTCGGTTTCCTTTCTGAGTAAAAGGATGTTACTCTGCTTGTTTGACATAAGGGATTTGGTGGCTCCATAAAATTTTTTCAAATGCATAAGCTAGTTCGTCCATGTTCGCACCATCCGTCGTATCATTTCATTCATTTGAGTCTGGTTTTTGGTCTTTACTGCTCTATGCATAAGCTTATTGACCGTGTGAAATACCTTTTGTACAAGTCTTTATTCGATGATATTGTTCCTTCAATGCCTTTGGATTCCATCAATAGATTTTACAAATTACATGCACACACGTGTTTGAGTCAAGAACACCACAGCTAAATTACAGAGAGTGTATAAGATAGAGAAGTTATAGCAACACTATAAGATAAATCTGATAGAAGTATCCTCTCATTATTTAATGAATTTTTTTTATTCACATTATAGAGAGTGTTAAGCAATGATATAACTAATGATTGCATAAAAAAATGATATAACTAATGAGAAGGGGGAGGCGGGAAAACAGAGAGAGAGAAATGCCACCAAGGCTATGTTTTCCTATTACAAAGATAGGGGGCTTCAGTGAATGCATGCATAGTTATTAGCAAACAAAGCTACCATTTCACCCAAGTGATCGTGATGGCGTGGACCTTGTCAGTATATTATCGTCTCATTTTCCCACGCTTTCTTGTCAGGGACTTCTATATAATTTATAGTTAACTTCAAGGACTAACTTTGATAGGTTTTAAGGAATTTTGAAACTACAAGGACTAAATTTAAGGAAAACAAAAAAAACAAAAAACAAAAATCACTCATCTAGCTACTGGGAGAAAGCCAGAGGGTGGAGATGATGGGAACTTCAACGGCAAACTCCTTCATTATTTGCTTGTTGCTAATAGCTGGGTTCTCAGAATCTGTAGGAAGTCGAAGTAGCTGTCCAGAACCTGAAACAAAATGTGGAAACCTTGCTGTTCCATTTCCTTTCCGGATAATAGGACGCCAACCTAGAGAGTGTGGTTATCCTGGGTTTGGTTTACAATGTTCCTCCACCAATTTGCTGTTCTTGAGCTACCTCCTTCAATCAAACTCAACGTCAAACACATTGATTACACTTCCCAAACTGTTCAGCTCTATGATCCTCATGGTTGCCTCTCTCTGCATCTCCCTAGTCTCACTCTTCCTCCTCCTTCCCCTTTCCAGCTGCAAGCCAGCTTGTTTCTTGATGATGATGATGATGATGACTTCACTGTCTTCAATTGCTCACAGCCGAAAAGCTCCGAGGACGTGAAATTAATCTCAACTTGCCAGCGCAGATCTACCTATCACGTATATGCCATTTCATCAAGTGCATACATCAGACAATTTCAGTTGCTGTCTTGCACCAAAGTATTTAACATTTCATCCGTCCCAGGGAAGATATTTAGAGATGATTACAGTCTTCATCTGAAGTGGTCTAATCCTAGGTGTAAACATTGCGAATCATCGGGAAGAAGGTGCAGGTTCAAGAATAGCAGCATTAGTAATGAAACTGCATGCTTTGAAATAGGTATGATCTGGTCTACTTTCTCAACAAATCCAAATGTCAGACCATACCATGGATTCATTCATATAATTGTCGCTTCTAATAGATATACAAATTCACATGAACATGGAAAGCATTAAAATTCTTATTAAGATGAGTCACGGGGAGTGGGGTGTAAGCTACCCCTTGGCACTGCCCCCTACTTCCTTTTAATTTTGGGCTCTTCCCAAATTTTTCTTGTTGTTCTTTTTATCATTAAATTCTATATAAAATGAGTGATATTTGATATTTTATGTATAAAAAATGGTTTAGTTTTTAATTTTTTTAATGATTTTTTTAAAGATTTAGCACTTTAAATGGTTCAATTTCCTTCCTGTTCGGTTTAGTTAAAAATGAGGTTGTCTCTTTAGGATTATTCACTAAAGGATCAGAGGATCTAGGCGTTGAAAGTAAATGAGCACTAACATCAATTGTTGGTGAATCTTGTGTATATAGAAGAGACTGCTGAGGCGATACTGACTCTTGCTCCTCTGCTTCAAAAGCCTTTTCCCTTGAAGGATGATTGCTTGATGAGTTGGATCGTTGTGTTGAATATGCATTATCATCCCTTGCTGGTAACTCTTTTGGATATAGATAAGGCTTTTGAGGTAATTCCAAGTCTTGCTCGTCTCCCTCAAGCATCTCCACAACTCTGTTCATTGAAGGACGATCGCTAGGCTTGGTTTGAATGCACCACAACCCAACGATCAGCATTTTCCTTGCCACTTTCATTTCTTCCTCTGTTGCATCTGCTATGGTAATTTCATTCCCTTCATTTAACTGATCATAAGCCCAAAAAGGAAAATAAAATTGACTTGATTGCTCAGCCAACACATTCAGATTCTTCCTTCTACCAGCCATCTCCATTAATAACATCCCAAAGCTATACAAATCAGCCTTATAGGAGACTCCACCTATATTTTTGTAGAAGAGCTCGGGAGCCATGTATCCTATAGTTCCTCTTGCTGCTGTAAGAGACATAATATTATCATTTGTAGGATAGAGTTTAGCAAGCCCAAAATCAGAAACCTTTGGGATGAAGTTGTCATCAAGAAGGATGTTGTGCGGCTTTATATCAAAATGAAGAATTTGCATATTGCACCCTTTGTGAAGATATTCAATACCACGAGCTACTCTGAGAGAAATGGCATACAATTGATGAAGATTCAAGGATTGCTCATTATCATTAGGTTTAGAGAGAATGTATTTGTCAAGAGACCCATTTTTCATGAACTCATATACAAGAGCACGCTTTGATCCTTCCACACAATAACCTATGAGTTGCACAACATTAACATGGTGGATTCTACCAAGTGTTGCAACCTCGTTGATGAAATCCTGACCATTGGCTTCCGCATTATCCAACATCTTGACAGCCACATCACGACCACTTCGAAGTTGTCCTTTGAACACAGAGCCATAGCCTCCTTTTCCAAGTCTTATTTTAAATCCTTTTGTCGTCTTCTTGATGTCATTGTAGGAGTACCTTATAGGGATGATGTTGTTGTCGCTTTGCAGAAAATCTTCAATGCTTTCATACATTGATAAGTGCCTTCGTCGGCATTTATAGATCAAAAGGGCAATGACAAAAGGAGCCCCCAGCACAAATTTACCTCCAGTATACATCGTTGTTAATGAAAATTTAAATGAGAAAATAGATAATCAGAAAGTACCCTTTACCTGAAACTAGTATTGAGTTTCTATTGTTTGGCCAGTCATTGAACTGTCTACTCTTCAAAATTAGACAAGTCTGCCAAAATCAAGGGATATTTACCTAACAACATGCATGTTACTGCAAAACAGAGGAGAAAAAAATTGACATCAGTTTCTCTCACGAGATAGTACTATGATTAATGTGAAAACAGTTAGTGCAACGCTTAATAGGTTGTGAAGTTGTTATTTTAGTATGGAGGTGAGCTTTTGACCCTAGCTATTCCTTCGCAGCATAGAAACAATTATTTATATGTCGTAAGAGAAAAATAAAATAAAAACACACCGTCATTTAATAAAGTTTATAGTAAAATGAATAACTCATGAAGGTCATTTGTGAAGGGGGAAAATGTTGATGTAGGACAAATTTGATAGTAGATTCATAAAAAATTTATATATAAGCAGCAGAAATTTATGATGTTTTTCAATGAGATTAATTCTTTGATCCTGTGCAACTTCCAAGCATAGAACCGAAAAAGTTACAAGCTATCGTGAGATGCCTTACCTGCGATTAACCAAAGGATCCCCATAAGCGCGACAGAAATTCCTGATGCCACACCAGATGCACGAATGTATCAGTACGGATATGTGGTAGACTATTGTAAAACCAAATAATAATAATAATAACAACAACAACAACAAAATGATATCCAAGAAAAAAATATAAGATATATATATTCCTTAGAACTAAGAAAAAATTAAATGTGTGATGGTTGTGAACTATAGATGATACGTATTTAGCTGATATATCATACATGATTTTTCTTAGAAATTAAGAAAAATAATTGACAAAAAAAAATAATTAAAAGGAGGAGAATACTAGAGGATAGCATGAGTTTAAGGTGGACGGACAAGTGCTAGCGTGCTAATCATAATATCCTTGCGACGTAGGATCACTTTTTCCCATAATGAAAACTATGATGGTTCAAGCAATATGGGGAATATGTTAATGCTAGATTAAAGTGACATAGTTTATAAAAAAAAATATAGATAAGTAGTTGAAAGTATAAAAATTAAAGTGCCGTCTTCATCTAAAGAAAAAATAGTTTAGGAGATAAGCAAAAGACAACAAATGCTATTTTTTTTCCTAAAAAGGTATGGTTAGACGGGAATATGGGAGAGATATTTTTCAATCCAATCGGAAATTTGGTAATTGTGATCCTAAACTTATTTATACCCAAGTACCTAGGGACTTTAGAGCTATTTGGTCATTAGGTGGGATTTTGCTGTATTTACCATTCTTATGTGAAACTTCAGTGTAATTTTTCCTCAAATTTAAAACGAATTCTCCAACATAATTAGTTCACATTTTTTTAAAAAAGGATATAATATCTCTCCTTTTCATTACTCGTCAAATTAAAACTCATTTTTACTCTCATTCTTATTTTTTAGCGTTTCAATTTCAATCAAAGATTGTTTCATAGACCAAACATGACACCAGTTTTCTCCCTTGGCAAAACGAAAGTTAATTAACAACCGATAATTCCGGGTATTGATAGCCAAGCATTCAAAAATGAAAATTACGCAGAAGATGACAAAAGTCATAATTGACTCTTGCGGGAAAAAAATCAAATTAAACTTGGTCTCTCTTGTGTTACAAGGAATGTAGGATAGTTTTGTTCAAGAATATAGTAACAAATCGAGGGATTGGCCCTGGTGGAGTGTGCGCGTGTGTCGGGTTTTTTTCCCCCCGGGGGGGGGGGGGGATATTTTCCACTAAAAGCTAGGAAAACCATTCCATCTGTATAATGGAGGAGAATGGAAGTATGGTAAAGTCAAAATTGTCCCTCAGATATGAGTATAACCAAAATATAATGAATTTTTAACATGTCGATAAACTTTTTTTTATTTAACTTTCATTTATTATTTACGTTTTATTTTCTCATCTTCATTTATATTTGTTTATATTTATTTTTTATTATATCTTTCATCATTTTCATTTTTACATCTATTATTTCGATTTTATTCAGAATTCATATTTTTTTAATTTATTTTGTTTTAATTAGTTTTGATATAATATTACATTTTGATGTATATGTATATATTGGGAGCCTTCTTGAAAGTAAATAATATTTTATCAAGGGCAACTTAGTCATCTATCATTATATCTTTTTCATCCTTTTCATATTTTATAATAAAAAAATATAATAAACAAAATATTACTACTTCCTAGTTTAATTAAAAAAAACATATCATAATACAAAATATTACTACTTTCTAGTTTGTAATTAAATATGAACTACAAATTAAATGTTACATTAAAGACAGGAGGGCTACTGTCTTTTTCAAAACATATGAAATGAGGTATTAGTAATCTCATTTCCATTTCTTTATAATCCATTGCAACGTACTCCTAAGTCCTACCAAATACAAGGTAAAGTCATCGTGATTCTTGAGGTTAGTGGTGGAGGAGGACTTATATTAAATGTTAACTGAATATTATGACCAAAATTTACTCAAAAAAAAAAGGACCAAGATATTTAATATATCTTTTATCATTTAATCATCTTCATTTTATTCTTGCATTGATTTTAGGAGAAATTGCAAAAAAAATCTTAAAATTGTAAAAACGCAGATAGAGACCATTGACAACTTCACTTTGGGTTTTGACAACTTCATGATATATTATTATTGTCAAAACCCAAAGTGAAGTTGTCAAGGGTCCCTATCTGCATTTTTACAATTCTAAGGTCTTTTTTTGCAATTTTTCCTTGATTTTATCTAATAAATACAAAAGTAAAATTGAATATAATTCTTTTTCATTGAATGTAAAGAAAGTTACTCGATTTTGTCGACATGCATTTTCATTCTTTTTTTTTCCTTCTTATTTTTACACACACTTTGATTTAATTTTGGCCAACACGCCTTGATTTCAATCAGACTTTTCATATGCAACAATCTAAAGCTTACACACAAAGCTGGACTGCGAGAATACAGGTAGAAACTAATTTTCGGCCAAAAAAAAATACAGATAAAAGCTAGGGTTTAATTATAATAATTATTGAAGGCTTTTTCAATTATAAAAATTTTTCTTCCAGTCATAGAAAAGAAACGACACAAATTAATTAGTTCGTATTTTATCAAGTAAAATATAATAATGGAAAAGCTTAGATATTTTTATCCTAAAAAATGGAATTACATGTACACATAGGGTGTTAACAATATGATTGATTTATTGCAAGGAATTCCAAATGCAAGGGACGAGTAAGGATAGAGAGTGCATGAATCAAAGGTTAAAAAAAAACAAAAATGAAGAAATGAGCTCCAGCTGTATGTCGAGCATATATGTGTGTATATATATAATTTTTTTTTTACCAGCGAGCATATATGCATTGACATATGGAATTAAATCGACTAACGTAATGGACTTACTTGGAATACAAACTGGTTGCATATTTCCTTGATGGAAACGTAAGATTGCGTGTTCTCTATAGTTGGGGCAGAAACTGTTGAGCCATGAAAGTTCAAAGCCAGAAAGAAGCATATTGTGGATGTCTGTGCAGGACCAAGACTGGTTGTTCTTTGGAGCAGGCGCCGACGTCATATATATAAGTTCTACGCCACAATCATCGTCCAACCCCAAGTCACTGAGAGTTTCGCTGCCAACATTCACGTACGAATATGAAGAAGAAGAAGCTACAGAGCCATTTGAATTTTTGAAGCAAGGAGATGTGTCCACAAACCGAGGGGAATCCACAGGTTGTTCACACCTTACGTATATCATATATTTCCCCAATTCATGCCGCGTCCCATGTCCATCTTCATACTCCTCATAAAAGCCGACGCGATATGGAGCCATATCGCTAAAGTTGTCATATGTTAAAGAATACTCAGGAAGGGAAGAGGAATCCAACTCTAGAATATTAGCATCCCTCACTCAGATTGTGTAGTTCTCATAATTAATGGACACAACACTGTATCTCTCAGATTGCCAGCACATTACCAATTCGTTGTGCTCGCAAGATAGGCTGTACCTGTGGTCACCACACTGCTCTGGAGACTCTCTTAGCCGAAAAGGATTGATAACATCGTGATCTCCGCATAAACTAGAGCAGTTCTTGTGTCCATCTGATGCCTTGCAAGTTCTGCAGAATAACATCATCAGGAACAAAGCGACCAGAAATTTTCCTGAAGAGGAACACATGTCCGTTATCATGATCTCAAAATGAAGAGTAATTAGTAGTCTCAACTTCGGAAAGACATATAAAAGTCCTTCCACCGATGTATTTAGCATAATCAAGAAGCTGCCTAGAAATTTTTCTTACGACACTGACAGCTTGTGTATTGACACCACATGTTTCTTATTATCCAGAAGTTGCCCAGAAATTATTCTGAAGTTGACACTTGACAGCTTGACAGGACTCCCTATAACTCACAAAGGTGAGAGTTTATTGACGTAAGCAAGTACATCATGCAAGGAAAGTGTTAGGAAGCTACACGTGTTTGGAAAAACCGCTTGGTTTCGTATTTGAGATGAGATTAGGAACTTGTTATCTCATCTTGCTACTTAGGAGAAGCCAGAACATGGAAACTTTACCTGTAAACTCCTTCTTCCCCTTATGTTTCTTGCTAATTCTTTTGTTTTCAGAGTCTGTAGGAAGTTGGAATAGCTGTCCAGAACCTGAAACATCATGTGGGAAACTTCCTGTTCGGTTTCCTTTCCGAGTAAAAGGACACCAATCAAAACAGTGCGGCTATCCTGGGTTTGATTTAGAATGTTCTTCTGCCAAACATGCTGTTCTTGAGCTTCCTGGATCAGTCAAGCTTAATGTCAAACGTATTGATTACAAATCCCAAACCATTCAGTTATATGATCCTTCTGGTTGCCTTTTAAGGCATGTCCGTTATCTCACTCTACTTCATTCCCCTTTCCAGTTCATAGACCGCTATCTTTATGACTTTACAATTTTCAATTGCTCGTCACCAAGGGACATAATACTACATTCAAGGTGTCTAAGCGGCTCAACCTATCAAGTATATGCCGTTTATTCTGATGAGGATATCGAAGTGCTTCCCTTATTTTGCAAAAAAATATTCAACGTTTCATCCATCCCATTTGACATTATTGAGCATGATGATAATAGCACTCTTTATTTGATGTGGTCTCATCCAATGTGTGAACATTGTGAATTAAAGGGAACAAGATGTGGATTCAAGGATATCACAACAAGGAATAATACTACCAGTTATGATACTACGTGTTTAGAGGTTCGTCACAAAGGTAATATTGATCTCTTGCATCAAAACCTGATCCCCTTTGTCAAAATGTATATCATTTAGATAAATCGACTATAACATGCATCCGTTAATTTAATAATTACCTCTAATGAGCATATGAAGTGCTTGTTTGACATATCCCCATAATCACTTAAAAAAAAAAAGAAGAAGCTCTTTTGCACTTCATAAGATAAAACTTCTCTCATATTTAAAACAAGCTAATCCAAAAACCTTCAAAATCACATGAATGTATACATTTCTTGTCTGGTGTGAAGCATCAAAGTTCCTCATATGGTAAGTCATGATTGGGTTAAATTCTCTTACGCATGCTATTGATCAATCATGTTAATTTCATTTGCAGGCTTATCAAACAAATTTGTAATTACAGGTTAGCATCAAGTTGATATTGGTATTTTCTCCTAGTGGCCAATTGTAGATTTTGAAACTCAATTTGAGCTCTCACATCATATGCAGGATCAATCTTGGGCTCACTTCTTCTAGTGTTGACCCCTGTTGTAATTCATTATGTTTGCAACTCTTACAAATCAAGGAAAGAAAGCCAAGCAATAATTGAAAAGTTTCTCAAGGATTATAGAGCTCGCAAGCCAACTCGATATTCTTATGCTGAAATCAAGAGGATTACCAATCACTTTGAAGTAAAGTTAGGGGAAGGATCTTTCGGTACAGTGTTCAAAGGAAACGTTTCATCTGAGTTCGAAGTTGCAGTTAAGATCCTCACTAATTCTGAAGGAAATGGTGAAGAGTTCATCACTGAAGTTGGAACAATGGGCAAAATCCATCATGTCAACATTATTCGCTTAATGGGCTTTTGTGCTGATGGCTTTAGAAGAGCACTAGTTTACGAATACTTTCCAAATGGTTCCTTACAAAATTTCATAAATTCATTAGACAAAAGCCAAAACTTTGTTGGTTGGAAAAAGCTTCATGAAATTGCTTTAGGTATAGCCAAAGGAATTGAGTATCTTCATCAAGGGTGCGAGCAACGCATACTTCATTTTGACATCAAACCTCACAATATTTTATTGGATGATGACTTCACTCCAAAAATATGTGATTTTGGACTGGCCAAATTGTGTTCCAAAGATCAAAGCATAGTGTCAATGACTAACGCCAGAGGAACATTGGGTTACATTGCTCCAGAAGTCTTCTCACGAAATTTTGGAAATGTATCTCACAAAGCAGATGTTTATAGTTTTGGGATGTTGCTACTTGAATTAATAGGAGGAAGAAGGATCACCCATGACACAACAGAAAATGCTCCCCACATTCACTATCCCGAATGGATCTATAATATTTTAGAAGAAAGGGAGGATGTAAGGATACATATAGACGAAGACAGTGATGCTAAAACTGTAAAAAAATTGGGAATAGTGGGACTGTGGTGCATTCAATGGCATCCTGTGGATCGACCATCAATGCAAGTAGCGGTTCAAATGTTAGAAGGAGAAGGAGACAAATTACCAATACCTTCTAATCCTTTTAATTCTGAAGGTACATCAACAAGAAAAAGGTCCAGCGTGCCTACAAGAAGTCTGATGCAGGGTTTAGAAATAATCCAAGAAGTAGAGTGACAGTCAATAATGATAAAATATTAACCGGTTTGGTAGATTTTGAAGTTTGCCTTTTGTTGTGTGTTGTTATGTCATTTGTTCACGTATGTTGTTTGAGCCTTGTGTCTTGAGAAGAGAAGAATGCAACATGTAAAGCATATATCTAAGACTTCTGTTTTTTCCCCCCTCCTATGATATGTGTTCAACCCAAGCATGATTGCAATTTATGGTCAAAATTTATCGCCAATAATTAACACTGGAATTGGATCATCGCTACATGATCTCAATATATATTCTCCTCATATGTAATCTAGCTGTAATAGGTACGATCATCAATTAAGGGGGAAATATCTCATTCATTCTTAATTTTCGTATATAAATACCAAGTAAATCTTTCATGTAGGTTTGGCGTAAAAGGTTTCCATAATTCCCATGAAGTATACTAAAGAAATCACTTGAATAAGCACATCAGGTCTCAAGCAAATTCTTCTCCTTTAATTTAATTTGAATATTTTCAAATGTGGGGAAATAATCAATAGATCGACATTTTAATAACATAGGGATAAAGAAGTATTAAGACATACAGAGAATAATATAATGAGGATGCAATTCCCGGCCGGTGACATTCCATATATGTATGAAAATATATATGAATATATATATATACACACACACACACACCTGCTTGTTTTTAGTAATCGAAGTATATGTTTAATAAAAATTAAGAACACAAACAAGAAAAGTTGAGTTTCAGACTTAGATTCAAGATATACTCGCTATGTAGCACAGCATAAGAAATTAAATTGATAGTTTGTAATGCAATACAATAACTGTTGGAATCACAGCTTAAAAGTTCACGCAAGAGAAAAGAGATGAAAGAACAATGCATAATTTGCTTTATTTTTTTAGACTTAGAACCCTAATCTGTGTAAGTATTATATGTTTGAGTTAAATATGGGTATTTCTTCTCACACAGATTTAAGTCTTGATTCATTATATTATGAGGGACTAATTCATTTTACTAGACCTAATCTTTATTAGCTTTCTATCAGAGACTTATTCTAAGCAAAAACACATAAAACATGTAGATAATGAGACAGCTGAAAATGACTAAAATTCAACATGGTTTTTATTGAAATTAATTGTGTAAATGCCAACGGCTTCATTTAGAAGGAAAATAAAACTTGTAGATGAGTTAGATTTTGAAACTTCGAGGCAATCAAGACTCAAGATCAACGTATTTACAAAAATATTTATAAATTGTTCATCAATGAGATCCTGGTATTGATTTAAATTCAAATTCTTATGAAATAAATATCAATTCTTATTAATTGGATCAAGTTTTTTGTAGTGTACATGCCTTTGCCCCCCCCCTTCTTTAAAGATACCTCCGTTATCCAAAATTTTCAAAACAAGTGCGATTTTAATTTATTTGTCCTTTAAAAATGAGGAGCCAAATGAAACTCAATGAGGAATTGAAGCCTCAGCGAATTTTTCCAAGACAATGAGATTATATTGAATTTCGAAGATGGGGTTGCTAGGGATTAGACGTGGTCAATGTACGAAAGTAACAACCTTATCTTCCACCCATGATTCCTTTTCAAAATACATTGCACCTTGGAATCAAAGCGACGGATCAATCAATTTTAGTCATCACGATAGCGATGACCAAAAAGTGTGTATAGATGGAAAAGTGAGTCGTTAAGAGGCCCTCAGCTGGCCTTTAATTTATTTTTTCATCGGACTAATAGAGAAGCCCTAAGTCTAGCTATCCACAAGGGCTTATTATTACAAATTAACTAATATAGTCTACAACTTTGATGAGTTTCCTGGAAACTAAGGCGCATTCAGAAAAACTCAACGTGCCTGCAAGGGTGGAAATTCGTTCTCTTTATTCTTTGTTCATCCTAACCATCACGGCGCATTGCGTGTTTTTCTGTCGTCAAATTTGAATACGAAACGACAAAAGAAGAAAAGGACCTGTCATCTAATTACTAGTGTAGCATTTATTTTTTTAGACTTTGACAAGTCTTCTTTAGTAAAAAAAAAGATTTACAGACATGCACCCTTGTGTGTGCCTTTGTCAATCAAACTATAATGAACCTACAAAATTTAAATTAAATATACATATATAATATTTTTTATGCAAATAATTATATATGTACATATATATCATTAAAAACTAAAAATGAACTATATAATAATTTTAATTTTAATTATTATTATGACAAAATAATTTTTAAATATTTATTCTACTATTTATTTTATGATTTTTTATTTCTTTTAAAAATTATTTTTAATATAATATTAATTTTAAATGAAAATAATTTTAAATTTTAAATCATATATATGTTTTATAAATATATTTTTTAAAATTTAATTTTTATTTTTATTTAACATTGATAAGATATATAATTTAATTATATATTTATATTATTTTTTAAAAATTTATTCACCAATTTTTTGATGGATTAATGACGTAATGAAATTATAAAGTTAGAAAGAAAAAATAGATTAAAATTTTATATTTAAAATCAAAATAAATTCATATATAGTTTTTATATTTATATTTAGACGTGGAAGTAATATAATATACGTCTCTCCAAATGAAATTGACACAGGAAGCTTCACCGAAGCCAGTGTCCGTCATATTGTTCATTGACTTGGTCCGCTCTTTGCAGCGAAAACAAAATGAGAAATGGAAAGATGAAGATACCATCACACCATGGAGAAAAGTCTATGGCCTCCCAAGTTGTGTTGTGCTTGTCACTCTCCATTGACTTGGGCAAAGCCAAAATGAAAAATGTAGAAGTAAATTAATTATCACATCATGGAGAAAAATATATGCCTAAGTCTCATTCCAAAAACATCCCTCGCTCCAATAATTTAATTTTGATGTTGACTTACACAAGATGACAAGACCCATTTTACACCCTCTCAACCATAGAAACTGTGATTAGGGGAGAGATTCATGATAATTAAATTCATATTGCGAAGTAAATTATTTATGTGTAAAATTCTCTTAAAAAATTAATTGTGATTTAGGACAAATCTAAAACAATTTTTCTTAATATTTATAAAATGGCTAACTATAAATTATACTACCTTTGGTTTTTAATATAAGAGTTAGTTGACTAATCTTAGCAGATTAAGAAAACTAGTTAAGTTAATTATTTGAAAGAAATAGGTATTACCTTTCTTAAAATATTTTTGATAATTAAATACATTGGTTAGAACTATCTTTAAAAAATAATAAATAAATATGAGAGATAAAACAAAAAATAGAAAGATGATGATACCATCACACCATGGAGAAAAGTCTATGGATATTTATATTTAGAAGTGGAAGTAATATAATATACGTCTCTCCAAATGAAATTGACGCAGGAAGCTTCACCGAAGCCAGTGTCCGTCATATTGTTCATTGACTTGGTCCGCTCTTTGCAGCGAAACCAAAATGAGAAATGGAAAGATGAAGATACCATCACACCATGGAGAAAAGTCTATGGCCTCCCAAGTTGTGTCGTGTTTGTCACTCTCCATTGACTTGGGCAAAGCCAAAATGAAAAATGGAGAAGTGAATTAATTATCTCATTCCAAAAACATCCCTCGCTCCAATAATTTAATTTTGATGTTGACTCACACAAGATGACAAGACCCATTTTACACCCTCTCAACCATAGAAACTGTGATTAGGGGAGATATTCATGATAATTAAATTCATATTGCAAAGTAAATTATTTATGTGTAAAATTCTCTTAAAAAATTAATTGTGATTTAGGACAAATCTAAAACAATTTTTCTTAATATTTATAAAATGGCTAACTATAAATTATACTAACTTTGGTTTTTAATATAAAAATTAGTTGACTAATTTGAGCATATTAAGAAAACTAGTTAAGCTAATTATTTGAAAGAAATAGTTGTTACCTTTTTTAAAAATATTTTTGATAATCAAATATATTGGTTAGAAATATCTTTAAAAAATAATAAATAAATATGAGAGATAAAGTAAATTAGGTCTTTTTTTTTTTGCCAATAAAGTAAATTAGGTCTTATATTCATAACTAAAATAAAAATTAAATAAGTTTGTATATTAAGGGCACGAAGTAGTGGATTAGACGCTTAAGCACAAGGTCTTTACTGGGCCCTCTCAACCCACAGGGCCGAAACAAGTGGGAGTGTTTCTTTTTTTGTGGTACAAAGTGGAAGTGTTCAAAGTTAGAGATTATTCAGGTGAGAAATGAGTCCAAAATATAGTGCACTTACAGTGAAAGACGAAACACACCGATCCTCGTTAAAGAAGTCCAGAACATGGTGTGTGTGTGTGTGTGTAGGCCCAGGTCTATCATTAATCATTACATACCAAATCCAACGTGGATGAATATGACAAATACAATTCCATTTCTACAAAGAGGAGTTGGGTTTAGTAGAGGGAATTAATCTCTCACACGCAATGTGAATGAATTAAGATTCAAATTCTTATTAGAAGAGATGATCATATTTAGTATCCAATAATATTTAAAATAAAATTGCCTCTCCTTTGACATTTTGTTGGAAGCTTCAAGTGCTATATTATTGCAATTCTACTTGACATCTATTATTAATAATAAATGTCGTTACTTTTTTTAAGCTTAAAGTACAAGAGACCTTGGCATTTTTTAGAAAAAGTCTTAAAGATACAAATTAAACATTTCATTAAATTTTGGACATGGTTTTATAAAATATCATTATTTGAAAGGCAATCATGTAAATATAATATGCAAGTTAAGACGTAAGTCAAACTTTACAAATTAAAAATTTGAAAACCAAAAAAAAAAAACACTGTGCAGCTGTTGAGTGAGCTTTTTAATTTAAACTTGTAGAACTTGAGACTTGTGACTCTTAAAACTTCACAGTATGGGTGGACCAAAATTTTAATCCTTACAAAAAGAGATTACCATATTTAGTATCCAACAATACTTGAAATAAAATTGCCTCTTCTCTAACATTTTGTTAGAAGCTTCAAGTGCTATGTTATTGCAAGTCTACTTGACATCTATTATTAATAATAAATGTCATTAATTTATTTAAGCTTAAAGTACAAGAGACCTTCACATTTTTCAGAATAAGTCTTAGAGATACAAATTAAACATTTCATTAAATTTTAGACATGGTTTTATAAAATATCATTATTTGAGA